GGATTGCTAATAGGACCGATTGATGACTCATAGGAGTTGTCACGGCGACGGAAAGCCGCCTCTGCCGTGTCTGAATTGAAATATTCTGGAGCAACAACATAAACTGATCCCCTCAGGAGAATACAGTGGGACATATCATGTTCAAATTTGAGTCTAAACAAAACAAAAGGAGTATCACATGAAATTAAGGTGTGAAAAGGTGTCATGAATGTTTCATGTCTTCCAGCCACTGACATAAAGGGTATAAATATTGCATGCAAAGAGAAGATTCCCCTGTTTGAAGTCTCGAGAGCAAAGACGGTGGAGGAGAGGAAGAAGGGAGGGGGAGCCAGGTAATTACAAGTAGAGACGCTTTTTTGACGGATTATTATATTAAAGCGGGAGGAGGATGTAACCCTCGCTGGTCTCCACCTGAAGCAGCGACAGCAACAAAACAACCTGAGGAGCCGATGATTCCAGTCGACAAACAGCAGAGCGATCCCACCTGACGGCGCCGAGCGGCCTGGTTACAGAACCGCCAGGAGGCCTTCACACGGCAAAAACACAAAATCTCACCAGGTTATTTCATCTGGTTTCTCCTGCAAATATACAATACACCTGAAATAAGACTAAACTAACTTACAAGGAATTTTTCAGCATATGGGAGCTCACTAATGACAAAAGTACGTGTTTCATTGGTAGATTACTTCACTCACTGCAAGACATTTTTCCCCAAGTTATAAGTGAAATAATCTGCCAATGAAACTGCAATGGTTTCCTCGAGTTAACAACTTAATTTATTGTTTCTCGAGTTAATTTCCCGATGGTTTTCTCCAGATAACGAGTTGATGTCACGTTGTCATGTCATGTTTTCTTGAAATATGTTAATCTCCTGTTTGTTTTCCAACAGGCTCATGTCTTGAATGTTTTCTCAAAGTAACTAGTTAATCTCAAGAAACCAAACTTTGTTTTCTCGAGATCGTAAGACGATGGCCCAGATTCACATTTTGCCCATTTATGTACTTTGGGCTTTAACATCTTCTAAAAACAGTCTTATTTTTTTTTAAAAACCCATTTAGCCGGTTTTTGGCAATAATGTTTTTTTTTTATGTCTAGAAAATGAACCATTTCAAAATTCTCCACATTATTATGTCACAAATCAGCAGGCACTGCCTGTTACCTAGCAACCCCAGCAGGGCTCCATTTGTTACCTAGCAACGCCATGAGTTCTGCTTGTTACCTAGCAACGTAAGCCAAGTTCTAGTACGTTTGGTCAGCTGGTTTTACTGCTGCATGCGCTGAAGAATGGCTGCTGGAGAAACCACATTCAGCAATCACTTGCTGCATTGTTGTTGGTTGTTCAGGAGGCTCCACTTCTGCTTTTCAAAGATGTATAGGTTTATAGCAGGGCATCCATTTTCATGTGCGAATGTAAATGTTGAGTTGGGGGCGTGGCCAGCAGGAGCTAATTTGAATTTAAAGTGACAAGACGCAGTAAAACAGGAAGAGCTGACCAGACCAAGAAGATTGAATGTAGAAAGAAGCTTCTATATCTTACTAAAAAGTTACTTGTAAGTTAGTTTTGTCTTATTTCAACTGTATTAAGATATCTGAATTAGATTCTAGACCAAAAATACCTTATTCGCTGCGTCTTCTCAGAGTTTTACCGATTGAAATCCCATTTCATCGTCCCGTTCTTCTGATCACCGGTCGTAGCCCCGTCCAAACAGCGATAAAGGGTTAATCGTATTTAACAATACGCTCTGTAACTCGACTCCCCTCCTTGATTAGAATTAGAATCACATCTGGCTCCATGCTCTGTCCCTCATTACTGCTGAATCTCATTACGGGCGGCGTCCCCGCGGGAGAGGACGCGCCGCGTTTTTAACCACACTTTCCCCTTTTCTTCCTGCTCATTTCGTCTGCCTCGCCGCTTCGTCTCTTCTGCGTTTACATTAGCGGAAGTCCTCATCTGAGGGAATGACTGAGCGCCAGCACTTCTCCTCCTCCTCCACCCAGAGCCGCAAAATTGTTTTACAGTGCCAATTAAAGAAGGTACGCCAAGCTTTTTTTTTTTATTTTTTTACAGAGTATATATTATTCACACCGTATTATTTGTTACGCTCAAACAAAAAGAAAAAAGCAATACTAAAATAGGACTTGGAGAGCAAGTTCCACTAACTCGCAATAAAAACTACACCAAAGGTTTGGAAACACAGTCAACACGGGGAAAATGAACGAGCTTATTTATGGCGCCCCTGAAGTCCAACTGATATAATAAAGACTTCCACATATAACTGCATTTTAAACTTTCCTACTGCAAACACGGCGCCTGCATGGGGGAATTAATTTGAAGGAGAAAAATAATAAAGAGCCGCAAAGTTGGAGGTAAAACATTCATTTAAAGCAGCAGATTTTCAAGTAAATAACCAAACCAACAACTAATAAAGGGTCTTTTTTATTTGCTCTTTTTATTATAACGATATAAACTAATAAAATAAATTATATATATGAAAAATAAAGACTTTAGAGCAGTAATTTTGAGTAAACTTGAGGTTGGTTTCAGACCATGGGTGAGTCGCAGAGCAGGCAGGGCGCCTTCAGCAGTTTCTTTATCCACTCCGGATCTGAAGCAAAAACACAAGAAATTATTACAGGAAACCAGAAAATGGGAAGTTTATCCACCAAACTGAGGAATTAAACTGTTAAATGAAGTCAAAGATTAATATTTCACACATTTTAAACATAAAATCTGACAACTTTAGAGGCTTAAAGCATAAAATTATTGGAATCTGATATAAAATGTACAAAAAAAACCACATGAAACTTCAAAATTATTACTTATAAACAAAGATGGCCGCCTCCAAACAATCTGAATTATTCTACAGTGAAAAACATTTTATATTAAGAGTTGATGAGCACTGCAAAAAAAACAGATTATTTCACTTGTAACTAGTATTTTTTAATAAATATTAAGGAATTATTAGCTCAAAACAAGCTGCTACATCTTACTGAAAAGTTACTTATAAGTTAGTTTGGTTTACTTAAAGTGAACTCAGACATTATAAAGTACTTGGTAAAATTTTGTGTTTTTGCAGTCAGTTTCCAATTTAAGTCAATCGTGTCCAAACTTAAATAAATAAAAATTTAAATTGATCATTAAAATTGCAAACACAGTTTAAATTAGTTATTTTTACCCATTTGACAATGAACTAAAACACAACAATGTCCACAGATTGATTAGTTTTTGTAATTTTTGTGTGTATTTTCAGTAACATGAACAGGATGAGGCTCATTCTGACTTTATTTGGCCAAAAACTTGGTTGATAAGAGATAAAAACATCCTCCATTTCAAGGATTTTAATTTCCAAGTGCAATATTCCTATTTATAATAACTGCACTGTTTCCTTGTACAGAATATTATTTAATGCTGCTGTTACACTTAAATTGTCTCTTTGCGGGACAATAAAAGATGGTTTTCTATTCTATTTTTATTTGTCTGCCTCCTGTCAGTTAAAGTTGCACCCCAACATCTTTTTAATGTGTTTCTTCATCAAACATTTGATGTGAGACACCAAAGTTATGCCTATTCTGCAGTTGAGGACCACACTAAATCCTTCTGGCGGCCACAAATGGCCCTCCAGCCAGAATTTGGGAACCCCTGATCTTATATTGCAGCATTCTTAAGGTTGCAGAACCTCAGAGGACCAAAATCTAAACCCTCTGATGGAAGTTTTTCTTTTTTTAACAAAATAAAAGCACCAACAGTTTGTGAGAAGTTTCAAGACTTCTCAGGTTTGAACGGTGCAGATTGTTCAGTTAAACTGGGATGATGAAGATCTGAGCTGCAGGCAGAAGCTGCATGAAGCCGAACCGAAAAGTCCTGGAAGAAAATCCAAACATCTCTGCCAAAGCAGCCAGAGACGGAAACTAATGAAGCCGTTTGTTCAGGATGGAGGTAAAAATAAAATAAAACACAGATTACTGGAGGGGAAACGTGTAGCTAAATATCTAGAAAATAAGAAAACTAGATCTAATCCTGCTGAATTAAGATCCGAGTTGTCTGATTTATTCCCAAAATTGAAACAAGTATTTTAAAAATAGAAATATTGGCTCTCTGTTAATGANGATCTGAAGAAAAAGTTATCAACTTTTTGCTATTTTTTCCATTAATAATATTTAGTTTTGCTTCATTTACATAAATATTTCAGTTAAAAGATCTTTTATTTTTCCCAAATGGAAATTAAATGTAGCTCAATTTAATTTAACATTTTTCAAAGAGTTTTTGAAGACAGTGATGGAAGGATCTCCTGTAGCAGTCTGTGCTACAGCGCATTTGGTGAACCCTCTGACTGAAGACATTGTTTTTCAGATTTTCAAACTAAAACTTTCATGTGGGACAAAGAGAACCTAAGTAAAAACAAAGTTTTCAAATCATTTATTTAGCTAAAGTACCTAGCTAGTATGCTAACTGACACGCTACAAGCTAGCAGCCAATCCAAGAACTGCGTTTATTTCCTCGTTGCTGATTGGCTGAAACCCCGAATGCAAAGACAAGTAAGACTGTAGATGTTAGCTTCTTTGGTAGCGCCAAGATGGCTTCTAGCGCACAGATTAAAATACATTTAATGTTTATACTGTTAAAATAAGAAGTGTTTTATTGCAGTAGCTCCATTTAACCAAATTAAATTATTATTAAAAAACAATTTGAAATATTTTTCTTTAGGACACGAGTCACATAGAGACTAAAATCCACAAACAGTGAATAAAATAGTAAAACTAACAATATGGACAGTTTGGGGGATTTTAAATATTATTTGGAATTTATCATAATAATCAAAATCTCATCATATTCATACATTTTGCAATATATTTGGGATTTATACTGTTAATAGGAAATAGTAGGTGTTTTAATGTGTTTTATCTCCATTTCATCATATTAAATTATTGTTAAAAATTTATAATATTTTGTAATATGCTTCTTTAGGACACAATAATCATATTTTCTTATTTATTCATTCTTACTTTATTTATTTTCTTATGAATTGATCAAACAGTGGAGAGAAATAGTAAAACTAAAACTGGACAATTTTGGGTGATGCTAAACATTATTGATAGGAAGTTATTGTGACAACAATTAATCAGAATCTTATAAATATAAGACATTTATCACGACAGATTACAGATGATACAATAAATGTTTAAAAAATGTGGCGGAGGAACTAAATTAAAGAAAAAAGGGACGCAGAAACGGAGCAAATGAAGCCAATTTCTAAAGCGGTCGCTGGTTATTAGGTATTAACTCCTCAAGCGGGTGGAAACCCGACATGCCAGGCGTGGATCTGAGCGGCGGCGCGGGGCGAAGGCTGTCGCTGAGGGTGACAGGCCTGCGAAACGGAGGAGGAGGAGGATGGAAAGTGGCGCTTACCCTCAGGCTCTGGCAGTCTGGCAATGCAATCCTGCAGGAGGCAGCGTCTGAACGTCAGCGTCTGGCAGGCCTGGTATGACAACACGCACCTGGAGGAGAGCGCCACAAATACATGAGGAAGCCGGATGGGAAGGGACAGCGACACACACACACACACACACACACACACACAGAAAGAAAACAAAAAAAAGTTTGGCGGATGTGCGAGTGACGGGCGAGGAGCTGGGATGGCGAGCCCAGCAGAGGCGCCATGTGCTAGCAGGAGGAACGGCTGACGGATGATATTTATGAGGAGATGAGAGCGACGCTTGAGTAAATATCAAAAGGTGGGCGGCTTGATTACGGCTCTCCGAGGATAAATAAACTGTCAGAGGAGGAATTTGGCATTAGGATTCGGTTTGTGTCCTAACTGTCAGGCTCCCGGAGGAGCAGCAGCAGCGCCCACGCTTCCCAAAAAGGAAGGGGAAATGAAACCGTCATTCTTTTTAAAGACCGTCGTTCGGACCTGAGCCACATGTGTCCGTTTTCGCAGACGGCTTGTTTGCAGTCGGTGAAGGGCAGCGGGGCTTGACAGAGGCTGCAGCGCTCCGGGAACGTCTGCTTGTTGAGCTTCTTCCGGATGTGGCCGATCAGAACCTGGAGGAGCCAAAACGAGTTTATCAGAACCGCAGCTCAGGTTCCTGAAGCTTTGACAGCACCGACACAAAACAAAAACTCCACATAAATTTAATCATTTCACCTACAAAACATAATAAAAGTAAAACTCCCTTGATTATTATTCTTAAATGGAACAGAAAAGAGATTTGTTTTTCATTTTTTACTATCTCATTATTGTGCATTAGTGGACAATAAAGTCATAATATTATGAGAATAAAGTTGTACGATAATAAACTAAGTTTTTATTTCTCATATATTTTTACCAGAATAAAGTTTTTATAATACAAGAATAAATTCATAGCAACAATAAAGTTGAAATTAGTTCTTTGTCTAATAAAGCTAAAATTAATAAAGTTTTTATTTATCTATACAACAATAAACTGATTATAGTGATGACTGAAAAATAGATTTTAAGATAGAAAAGTATTCATATTGTTCTGTTTAAAAAATAGATTGGATTAATTTTTCCCCTCATGTTTTCTGAGGTCACTGTAGCGCCCCCTGCTGACTCCACACTTTGAAAACCACTGAAGAATTTAAAGGGGCAGTGTTACATATTTTCCAGGCACATTTTATAGCACAATCAAGCAACTATGTTACCTACAGTTGTAATAAAATGGGTATTTTTTATCACATTTCATTTATAAAGGAAATGTTGGGATGACTTCAGGAAGTCATCCCAACATGGCTCCTCAATCAACCCTATAACAACAATTTCACCAGCGTTCCAACAGGTGTTTGCTAATTGCTTCTGGCTAGTCTGAAGGAGCTGAGTGGGGGAGGAGCTTCTTTCTTGAAGGCGGGGCTAAGCCCACCCAGGCGTTTTGCACTGCTAAATGGTTGCCATGGGATTAAAGGATTTTTTTTTTTTTACAATCAAGGAAACGCCCCCGTTACGTTTTTGACGACAGAATAAAATTATAAAATTATTTAAAATTCAAATTTATGTAAAAAAGCCCTTTCAGCAACTGAAAATATTCTTATCAGTGTGAAAATGAGCATTAAACCAAGTGTGTACCTCTGAATCTTTGTCGTTGGGATCCCTGGACAGGTAGTCCATCAGGCCGCAGGTGGGGATGCAGATGTTCTGAGGCACCCAGGTGTTGAGGTAGACGACGCCCAAAACCTTCTTCATGTGATCCCTCATCAGATGCATCTCTGCCGCTTGCATCAGAGTCTGAACCTCGGTCCTTCGGTCCTCTGCTTCCCCCTCGACTCCACCAGCCTCGCCCTCCACCCTCTCCACAGCCTCGTCCTCTTCCTCTTCCTGTACCAACACTTTGACCGCCGTCCGCCTTGGTTTCCATTTGTGCTCTGTGCGTGGCGCCTGCAGGGTCAGGTGAAGAACTCGCGCCAAAAAGAGCTTGATGCGCCACAAGTACGGCGAGTCCACTTCCTGGAGTTTACGGTCGAGCTCCTCCTGGAGCGACGCAGGGACATGTTTGGTTTTCAGAACCTGCCACCTCACTAGCTCGAGCAAGTCCGCCGTTTTGAACAGGTTCTGCTCGGGGGACTTCAGCAGGAGCGATGCAGCCGCTTCAGGAGTTTTCAGCATCAGGAAGTGTATCTGGTAGTTCTTGTGGAAAGGGTGGAAGCTACCGACGATCCCCGGGGCGCTGACCAGAGCAACGTACGCGCCGTTGTGGCTAACAGCAATCCCGTGTATCCATCGTCCTGTAAGGGTCTCTGGCTGAGCCAAGTCCTCTACTTTGAAGATAACAGAGCTCTCCGTGAACGTTGGCGTCAGCTTTTTGATCCAGCCGTCCATGGAGCAGGAGTAGACCGCGACTTCCTGCTGACTGACTGCCAAGGAGACGACAGGCAGCGAGTTGAGTCCCGTTATGTGGGAATTATGAATGTTGAGTCCGTTTGGTGAAATCATCAGCAAACACCAGAAGATGTAGCAACCCCTGGAGGCGAGGATGAGGCTGCAGCTGGTTTTATGGATCGGGTGGATCACCGGGAAGCACCGGATGTTTTCCACTGCGATCTCGTCGCACTCCTTCCACAGGATGACGGGGAGCCGGAGCGTGCAGTAGCCCTTCACTTTGGACAGGCTGACCGGCATGATCTTGACGGGTCCAACCTCGCTACCGACGATCAGCCCCCCCATCCGCTGACTGCCGTTCTCGTACTCCCACCATGCCAAGTCGCTGGGTCTGCTCACGCCGGACTCGATGAGGTCGTAGAAGACGACGTCGTCTCCGTCCGCGAACGGCAGCACGAACTTCCACAACACGAGGTCACCGTTTTCCATCAGGACGGCGAGGAGAACCATCTCTTCATCCACGCAGCTGTTGTCCGCCTGGACCTTTTTGATGGTGTAAATGCTCGACCACTCCATCTTCACAGGGGTCTGCATGCGGAACCGCCGCTGTAGCTCGCCGAGGTCCAACAGGTCCGCCTGCGGGGGGTTGTTATCCTTCTTGGCGTAGCCTCGCTGCTTTAGCCGCTCGCCGTAGCTCTCGGTAAGATTGACCAGCAGTTTCCACTCCAGGTGGCCGCGGCTGCTGTGGACGGTGAGGCAGTTATCGAGCGTCAGGCAGGCGAGGAGGCAGCGGCCGGACGAGTCGCAGCCCAACGGAGACCAGCTGGCGAACTTCATCCCGCTGTGAACCCCGACTGACGGGTTGATCACCGTGTCCGCCAGAAAGACCTGCCGCACAGTCGGGTCCGGATCCAACGAGAACTTCTTTACAGCCTGCGACAGCTCGTCTGGCGGTCCGACCTTAAAATCCAAAAAACAAACAACCACGGTCCAATGCTGTTACATTTAACAAGAAGTTAATATCCAAATTCTGTTTATCAGAAAATCTGACTTTTACTCTTAAATAGTTTGGAAAGTTACACTGTAAAAAATGAGCAGTAATAATTTGGTTCAGTCTGTCACAGAGAAAAATGTGGTTCTTCGTTTTTCAAAGTCATATTTTCACCATTTTTATTCCTACATTTACAAAGGCGAGAGGTCCAAGCACAATATGTAATTAAAGTTAATGTTTAGCTTTCAAATTAAATGTTAGGTCAGGAAGCTAAATATTTAGTTTTCAAGCTAAATATTTAGCTCCAAATTACATATTTTGCTGATCTTTGCGTTTCATTTCCAAACTAAATATTTAACAACCAAAAGTTAAATATATAGTTTGATAACTAGAAAATTAGTTACATATTTAATTTAATAACTAAATATTTAGCATGTTAGCACATAATACTACTATTTAGTTGGTATTTCATACTGAGTAAATACTAAATAATGTGTTTTTCAGTTATTATACACTATTTAGTTAGTATTTATTTTACTAATTATTTAGCTTTTCTGCTACATATTTAGTGTGAAATTTTAGGTTTATTCTGGTAAAGTTTAAGAACATTTAAGAGACTAATCTCAAAATTTCTGAGCTTTTTCTTTTAGTAAATTTTAAACTTTTCAATCTCAGAAATTTCCTACTTTTTTCAAGCAAATTAACTCCCGAGTTATTTTTGTAGCAAATTTTCGACTTTTTGACCTTAGTACTGTCTTTGATTGTTTTTCTAGAAAATTTCTGAGATTAATCTAAAAATTTCCGAATTTATTTTTTTGTTTTGTTTTGGGTGAAAACTTACTCTTTCACTTTTTTGTTGACAATAAACAGAAACTATCTGCAAAATGTGACATAATATCTTGAAGTTAAATCAAGCGGCCAGAATCACAGAGGATCTATGAACATAGATGAATATATGTTGTTGTTGTTTTACGTCCTAGAGAGCAACATCTTGCTGCAGAAACTTTATTTTTGCTGTTTTGCTTTTTCTCATCGAACTGCAGCTTCTTGTTCTAACAGCGGAATATCTTTTATTTACCCGCAGCTTGTGGGTCTGGGTCGGGACGGGGATGGAGGTTCTGTTGAGGCTCAGGTCCTGCCTGCTGCTGTGCATGTCACAGAGCAGCTCCAGCACGGACAGGGAGCTGGAGGTGCACACAGCCAGGCGGTGATCCGGAGACCAGCGGAGAGGCTGCAGCCCGCTCGCCGGGGACAGCAGCGGCACCACCGGGTCGCGTTTAACCGGCACGTCCCGCGGCGTCGGCGGCACGCCATCCCCGTCTAAAGGCTCCGTCTTTATCGCAACGTTTCCAGACTCCGGGGGAGCAGAGTCTGGCAGACTGGCGGCCGCCATCTTTACCAGGAAGCGGACGTGACGTCATCACGAACGGGCGGGTAAGAGGAAACTACTAGTAAAAATATTTATAAACACATTTTTTTTCTCCAAATAAGTATTTTGTATAGAACAACAGAGATTTATGTAGCAAAAGGAAACACGTATATTTTGGTAACTGAAATAAAAAGTCTCCTTGCTGGTGGAACAGCAGTTTAATGAGGATTGTAAAGTTTTTAGCTACATTTAGCTTCTCAATCGGCCAAACAATATTCTATTGTTCTGATACCGTCCCTTCAGCGGTTCAGTTCAATTCAATGTTTATTTATTTAAATTATTTATTACTTTATTCACAAAGTAATAAATAATGAAAATAAACACAATACCCTGATAGATAACCAAAACAACATTAGCAATTTACGTATTTGAAAGTGAATGGGAAGAAGTACAAACTTATTTAGATCTACCCCTTCTCTGAGTCTTTATAATAATTGTTTATTATTATTTATTATGGGTTTTGTTAAGGAAGAATTTCTAAAATAGTTAACTTTGGAAAAAAGTTGGCTCTCTCT